AAAGTTAAGCCAACTATGCAACTAATGGTTTTACCAACACGTACGATTCGGAGCAGTGTTTTTCCTCAGTCATTTTTCCTGTCTGGATATATACAAGCAGTGATTTTTGAAAATTTTCAGTTGAAGTTCTCCAAAATCTTCATATCAATCTATATATTTTTGAAGCTAAAATGTTTCATGCCAGCTTTCACTTTCAAAAAAAGTTGCACTACTAAAGGTAGTCATAGACACAACATGGCAGAGCTGCAGAGAGATTGGAGAATAAACATAAGGTTAAACAACCTGACTTAGGTAGCTCAAAAGGCAGCTATTCTGATCTTTAGTAGGGCTACTGTGTACAGTGAAATCAGAGCTCGTCACTTCTGGAAGACAGAAGACATTCTTCCAAAGCGCATCATCGAGAATACAAAGCAGCAGCACTCCATTTGGACATTTGAACATTTCTGCCAGCTATTCAGCATTTGGCACATTCTGTACTTAATCCACTTAGATTGGGTGTACGCAGCAAACTACGGTTGTAAATGTTCCCCCTATAGAATAGCTTTAAGTCAGCAGGAAAGTACAGACTCATGACTTCTGCCATCCATTTATTCCACCCCTACCAATACTGTAATGACAGGCTTATCTTGATAGCTCACTTGAACTCCTAGTTCCCGGCAGACCAAACAAGCTGGCATATGACCAGAGCCAACACAACAAGCCTTTCAGACTGCCTTAGCCACTTGACAGTCTCTGCAGACTATGGTAACCAGTAGGGTTTGGGATGGTTGACCTGTCATTTCCTTCTCAGCGTTATCTGCATCTGCAATATGAGTTTCATGTTTGTCAGGACAAGAACCACGCCAGATGTGAAAAGAAGACTTTTAGCTGAGTCCTGGATTTCCTACTTCACTTCTGTGGGGAATGGTTTGCGACCTTTTTTGTAGAAAGAAAAATAAGACATGTGAACCATATTGTCTCGATCTAACAGGCAACACCCTTGTGCCTTGCTAACCTGTGAAAGTTTTACTGTCCTTTATTGACCTATGCAGAGAGTAAAGTTAGAAGGTGCAGGATATGAGTCAGCAGCACCTGCATCAGAAGGATGGTGAGAATGAATCAAACAATAAAAAATCCATGTTTATTAACTAGAACATCAGATAACTACACAAGCCCAAGTCAGGATGAACTGAGCATATGCATGTGAATCTGCAGGTTAATTCAACTGCTGTGCATGGCATTTCTTCCTACTATGAGTCGCCAGGTTCTCTGCTCTGCTCTCATGCACATCCTAGCATTTGTGTAATCTATTTTAATGAATGTAAGACTCAAAGTCAAACGGAAAGTTTTAACAATAGCAGTCATCTATCACAAAACAAAAACTGAAATTCAATCAAGAAATTAGAAGCAGTAATTGAGGGAATAATGTTAGATTACTTCTAGAAGAACAAAAACCACAACTCTGACCTTTAGTGTTGACAGATGTAAACAATGAACTTAAACAACCACATACATTAACATTACCTGAAAACTAAAGAGATCAATACTGACACACAGGATTCTCTCCCCTCTTGTTTTTGTTCTAGCCGAATTCATAGCCAAAATCAAACTCCGGAAAGCAAGTGTTAGTCCCAGTGTTTACATTCATATATAGAGCAACTACAAATAGCATGAGACACATGCTATTTGTTTTTCCCCTTGCTGTCATATACTGCCTTTAAAAATGCTTTATTAAGTGTTACTGCAAGTAAAAACTTTTTTTCTTTTTTTTCTTTTTTTTTTTTTTTTTTTTTTTTTTTTTTTTTTGCATTTTTAAAATCAACAGTTAATCTTATAATACAGTTCCCATGAAAGGGCAAACTTTTGAAAGTTACAACTTGGAAAAAAGAAAAATACTGGCAAAATATGAGTTTACATACTTCCATAGAGGGTTTTCTTTCCAGCAATGCCAAAATTTAATCCTGAACAAGATTGGGTTTCCATACACCTACTGACACAACATAACAATGTTATATTCTCAATTTTCCATAAACTATAAGCTCTCCTTAGCTCTTCCTCTTACCCACTTCAATATATCAGTGGATTTAAAAAAAAAAAAAAAAAAAAAAAAAAAAACTTTTATAGTTGTCTTTTGTTATTTAAATTCACTAGAGGTGAATTCAAATGATCCACTGATAGCATGCAAAACGGAAGGGTACATATATCAGTCAAACGTACTGTAGATACTACATTTTAGCCAAGAAGATTGTAAAACAGGACTGAACTTGCTCTTTGGAAAAAGTTTAACTAATCTTGTTGATTCTTCATTTACACAGGCAGCTTCTCAGTGTTTCATGCTATTTGTGCAACAGTGCTTCCCATGTACATATTAATTGCAGATCCAAGACACCCTACAGTTGTTATTACTTTCTCTTCATTATGCTTAACTTTGGTCTGTCAGCAACTTGGACTTCCATCTAAGCATACCTTTTCTTACCTAATAGAGCCTCCAGCACATGCCACTTCATACAGTGCTGTCCCTACATCTAAGCCTGATATTTAAAGAATGCATGTAAATACATGCCTGATCTTCATTTTGCATAGTTTTGTTACATAACAAAACAGCAAACCAAACGGTGTTTGCATCTGTTCATTTAGAATACAACACACCCAGAGGGCCTTCTTGATTTACTAATGAGCTTGCTATGTCATAAATCTTTACAGATTTTTTTTAAGGAATAAATGCATAGTGGGGAAACTCCTGTTCTTAGACCTTTATGTCTTACAGTAATTGGTGTTTTTTTTTTTTTGTGGCTTTTTTTTTTTTTTTTTAAATCAGACTTGCTGGCTTTATTAGATGGAGAAAGAACAGAGTGGGTTGCACTGTCATTAGCTGGACTTTGAAATCACACAAATTCCAATGAGAGTAATTAAGTTCACACCATGAAGCTGGCCACAGATTAGAGTAGTTGATTCCTTTACATTTATTGACCAGCAAAGTAAGCAGAACAGGGTGTCCAGTGAGAGCACTTGAAGACTATGGTGGTTTACACAGTTAAGAATACAAGATAATACAAAACAGAAATGGTCTTTAGAAGAGGGAAAACACTCATAATAAGGGACTGCATTGCTGTAAGGGAACCCCATGTATGTCCTCCAAAGACATGACTGGACTTGAAGACCAGAAAGCGCTCCAGTCAAATCCTTACATATCTTTTGTCTTGGAAAATACTGCTATTTGTTGTAGTTCTCAGGAAGCTTAACATGAGGTTTATGTAGGTGTTCAGAACTGAGGAAGAATATAGAAATATCTCAAAGCAAACCAAGGTTGCTGAACAAATACGTTATGATGACTATGAGAAAGCGACAGTTCATTGGACAAGCTAATTCATTCCTATTTGCACCAGAAATTACAATGGGTTAGCTGGTTTTTGTTTTTTTTTTTTTTTTTTTTTTTAAATTCACAATAACCAGTATGCATAGAAAGGATTTAAACATGAACATTCTTGCTACTGGTAGAAAACCACTGCATACAGACTTTCAAGAATATAGGGTGTGGAGTTTTTCAAAAGCACCTGTCCTTGTAAGCAACACAATCATAAATAAAACTCAAGAGATTATAATATTACAAGTGCCTACTTTTATTAGGCTAATATCCTAAATAGCCATTCTGCCCTTGAAGAAGGCACCCTCTTTCCAATTATCCTGCTAAATAAAAAGGAGCTGTCCTCGCTCTCCTCCCCAAGCACTGATGGAAGCTATTCCTTCCCTGCTGGCATCATTATTTTAAACACACCATCAGTTATGTGTTAAACAACAAAGGAAGTTCTTGGTAGATTGAGTCTCGAACGAAACAAACTTACATATGGGCACTGGATTTTGTTTTACCTTTCTGCAAGTATAATGTGTAAAGGAACATCATAAAATAAATAATCTAAAATGTGTAGTGGGGATCAATCATCAAGATTTCTTAATACAAAACACTGAGTTGGAGGAGAGAGAAAATCACTTGCTTAGGCTGCAAAGGACATTTCTTACTGAAGACAGTACTGCAGGTGCAAACATTTTACTTCACATCCTACCTAGCTGGCAAAAAGAACCAGGGTAGAGAATACTTATTCGTCACAGATAGGAACACTTGTTATTTCATTCTTCAAAGCACTCATTCGTTTTCTTCTTGTTAGCTTGCAATTTAACCAGATTAAGCTATTCTTTAAAAAGGCAATGAGTTGATTGACTCATACACTGCAGAACAAGTCATGCTCTTCAAGCACAATCTCAACTTATTAGCCAAACACAAAAAGGTGGGAAAAGGTTTTCACATACAAAGTTAGAAAATATGATTTAGCCTGATGTCAGCTTGTTATCAGAAGGTCAAGCAATAAATCAAGAATTTAGAGGAGACTTAAGAACTATCTTTGTACTTGCTCAAACCTGAAAGACTCAAAAAAATTTAATTGTAGCTAATATTTATGAGTCCAAAGTCCTCAGGACACAGTCCGCTGGAAACAATTTGAGTCTATAATCAAATTAATTCTATGTTTTTGCTTGGCTATAGGGAAAGTAAGCAATTGTACCTGTAACTACCTACTTGAAAAGATTATTATTAAAAAAAGACAAAGTGTGACCAGGATGAAATTCACGGACAGCGCCGGCATTAAATATACTCAATAGTCCTCTCTCCTCCTGCCCACCTGTAAATTAAAGCCAGGTGCTCATGCACTGACCATTTTAGTAGTTAACAGAGACGTAAATGCTAATCTCTGCAATGAGTTCTACCCTACTTACAGCCAGTCTTTGTGTTTGCTTCCACACAGAGAAAGAATTTAAGTGTTCCTGTATTATTGTTCCTGTACTATAGAATCACCTGCTCAGTTAGCCTTATGTAGCTGGCCAAACATCAGCTTTCACTTCCACCTCAGCAACTAGCACCATCACCTCGTTATTCTCACTATTGTAACACAAGCTTCATAGAATATGAATATTTTCAGCTATGCTTGGATAGTTACAACTCAGTAATAAACAACTGAGAAAGCTTGCCTGAGGACAGGATGCTTGACAAGATGCTTGTTTTAATTTGTATCCATTGGCATGGAGAATAAGGGTTAAGGGTTTTAAAAGAAATTGAAAACATCCCGGGAAATAATCTTCAATAACATGATAAGAAATTGTCTCTTGTGGGACAAACAAGTGAATGGAGAACAAATGTACCACTTAACCCTCCTGCCAGCTTCTGCAATATCTGCAAAAGAAAAGCAGTAGTTCCAGGAAAGGGTGTTGATTTAACAACAAAAACATATATAGTATAATGTGCCTTTAGAAAAGAACCACTGGTTTAGGTTGAATTATAGCATCCTAGCATCCCACAAAAGACAGCAGTCTGGCAAAATGCAGGTTAACATGTATGTCAACTAGATAATTTCCTTTTCCAGTCTACACTATAAACAGTCACTCCTTCAATTAACCTAACGTAAGAGGTATATTCAAATAATTCTGTATCTTCAAATTGTATTTTATTGCCCTTGAAAGCAATATAGGTTTTGTCATCAGTTTTATTCACAGAAGATAAAATCTCATACAGAAAGCACGTGGGCTACAATAAATCACTGCAGTGCTTTAAGCATAGAAGTAATGATGGAGCAGTCAACTGTCAGACTGGATGCAGCTTCTAGAGTTGTTTACTGGCATCATTTCAGTCACTAGTGAAGATTAAAGATTAAATCATATTACCATTGGATTCAAACACACTGTAAATCAGGAGACCTTATAGACTTTGTCATGCCTTCAATACATAAATATCTTTTTCAAACATTTCTTGCACAGCTGACTTGACAGGCCTGAAAACAATTCTGACAACTGTAAATTGTATTATTGCTTTAGTTTCAAGAACAAGATACATTAATGAAGAACAAAAGTTTAAAAATGTGGTATTTTAAAGGCTATATTTAAGATGTTCTAGGCAGCCATCACAATTTATTCCGTCTCTCCCACTCCCTGACATATGCAGTGCTATTGAAACCACGAGCAGCAGATGCAGAAGATACACATGCTTTTCACTATATCACGGCATCCAATTGTACATTTTAGACTTTTCAAAAACAGAAGCATATCAAGAAAAACAAAACAAGGAAAAGCTGGATGTTTGAAATCCTTTTCACTGATGTATTGCTGTCATTCTACAAAGCATTGGTGAAATTCACCTGGCATCATTTGCAGCCTTCTAGTAATCTGCCTTCAAGAAATGGGAACAGAAGCATAAAGGGACTAGAAGAATGAGGGGAGTCTTAAGGGCTAGCTAAAGCAATTTGGATTACTAAAAAATAAGGGCTGAGAAGGCACGGCAGTCCCTTCTGATTGTGTACTAAATCAGAAACAGGAATACAAGTCAACAAATGCAAAAGCCATTTAAATTAAAAAACAAAAAAAAACAAAAAAAAAAAACAAAAAAAAAAAACAAAAAAAAAAAACAAAAAAAAAAAACAGTGTTGGTATAACAATAAAAACTGAGCACAAACAAAACTTAACTGTAAATTAAAACAAATTCTCAACCTAAGCAATAGTTTTTATTCAACCCATTAAGGATGGCAGCATAGATAAACTCCCCATCTACATCAAGCTCCAGCTTAATAGTGATTGGTTAAGTTTAATGAAAATATTTCTATAATATGGTGTCATGGTAAGATTTCAGATCTGAAATATTTATTTTAATTCTAATGCATTAGGTATTGTTCTACAGAAATATCTTCTTAGTAAGAAAGCTAAGAGTACTTCAGACAGAGGTTATGAAAAAAAGTAAACAATTTCAGTGCTTTCTGTAGCACCTTTCAAAGGCATGCCAGAATTCTGTAGCACCGTTCATTGGCAAGGGGCAGACTGAGCAAAGATAAAAGCTGCAGACTAAAACAAGTTACTTGGAAAGAAACAGCTGCAGCGATAAACAGAATAACAAGACTAGCAGCACTAGCATGATTTATATTTTTTTTTGAGGAAGACTTGTAATAAGCTTAAAAAAAAAAAATCCTTAAAATATGGTACAAACATCATCAAGCAGATGTCATTTCCTGTAGCGGGTATACTAGTTGTTCAACACCATGGAAACAACACCCTCCTGATTTTGTAAAGCCTCATCTTAAGACTACATTTTAGATGCACATGCTAAATTTACTGATTTTGGAGTTATAATTTGTACTCATTACTTTCACAAAGCGCTGCTTCGCTGAAGGTTTACAGTTGGCTGTTTGGTCTACTGCTATCAGACATAACACAAGAGCTGTTCTCTTCAGATTAAGCACATTTTGCATGAAAATACTCCAGCTGATAAAGGAAACAGAACCCTAATCAGGAGCTGCAGTGGAAATACTACACAACTCAGAGGGGGAAAAAGAAGGGGGAAGAAGTGTAGGTCTTCATCCTTTTATTTTGTAAAAAGCAAAGCAACAGTTTCATTTAACACTGAAACTTTCATTTTTAAGTCACTACATTAAAACATATTATTTACAAAACAAAACAAAACAAAACAAAAACCAAAAACAAAACAAAACAAAAAAAACCAAAAAAGAACAGATGCCTTGAGAAATTTTCAGTCAAAAGACACGAGCTTTTTCTAAGAAATCTTAATTTTGTGAATGTATATTTGTGGCAACCTATCATACTTGGCCTACCATTGATTTGGATAATGCTTATAGATTTCACAGTCTGCAACAACTTCTGCGTTTTGTCTTTTTCTCTATCCTCATGGAAACTCCCAACCATATTCCCAAACTACCTCTACTGAAAGGAATGCCAAGTCTGAGGCTTCAGTTTTCACTCATAATGGAGCCACAAAAGAAAGTGCAGCCCAAAGAAGACTGGGCTGAAGCGCAAGCCCCTCCCTCCTTCATTACCAAGGAGAGTGAGGCCAAACAAGCTTGTGTTAATTTACAGAAAAGCTATGAGTAATAAGTTCTTTGGAATTATTTGTTGCTCTTTCTGTGCTGCAAGTGTGTAATAGTAAAGTCTCTCATAGCTACACTAGCAATTTTCATTTGTAAATTAAATCACGTGATCAAGTCTCTAAGAAGGCACAGAAGAACTTAAAGCCACTATTTGGTTATTTATTCATTTATTTATTGAGGGGGGAGAAACTGAACAGCTACAGTTGAACAATTTAAGTTCTCCCTCACTACCAAACACTCTCAATCACAGCACTGTAAGAACTCAGATCCTTAGAACTTTTAAGTAGTCCAAACGACATCATTTGCCAGTCCAGTGGAACTGGTAGAAAAGACAGCCTTCATATGCAGGTCTTCCTGCTCTGACGTTGCTGTTCTACTGTTACCCTTCTTTTTGCCATCACAGCTAGGCAGAAGTACTCTCGATTAGTCACATCCCTGCCCAGATGTGAAAAGAAGCAACTTTGGGCTAAGTATTGTAATGAGAGAGACAACTCCCCTGCAATAAACACCCTGTTTTTGTAACATTTTCTACTTGAGGATAAAATACAGAGCTAAGTCCTACTGATATGTAGACACTTAGCCCTAAAAAGAAGAATAACAAATGGAGCTCTACTTCCATTCCACAGTACTAATAGGTGTTACTGCTTCCTCTGGAAAAAAAGTTCTACTCTGTAGGGATTTTAACCTCTTGGAGGCATGACAATATTTTTACAGCACACTCTAAGACCTGCTTGTGTATGATGTACAGCATGGACAGTTAATTTTCCTATAAGCCATAATTCATAGGACAAACAATGTGAGGGATATTAATGGAAAGAGATCAACAAGGTTATTTCCTTTCGTGGCTTTCTGCAGAGTTAAATAATAAGTGAAACTCATAATTCAGCAAAGTTAAATGGAATAACTACAGAACTGAATGCTGAAGCTTATCTATTTGTGATACTTGCTGATGTTATACTTGTATTAACTAAGTGCTGCTTAACTTTTGTTTTCCCCTTTTCACTGACACACAATGGACTTAAACACCAACAGTCTGAAAAGGCAATTGGATCACAACTGCAAAGTTTGACATTGTACATGGATTTTTCCAACATTATTAAATTCAGAATTAGATTCCAGTTTAACTAGTTAAAAAAGTATTTTGATGTAAAGTATCTTCATTACTTTACCAGCAATACCTTGAATTTGCGTTATTACAATTACAGAACTGTTTCCTCTTCTTTTTCTTAAGTTCCACATAGACATGTTTTGAAGACAAATTAATTAAAGGTTACTGCAGCTGTTCTGCAGATGCTAAGTGCCACAACTTTTCCTCAATCTCAGAAGATTATTCTCATTCATAATTAAAACATATCAGAGGATTTCATAGCTTTAATTAATACAGCTTAACTTAGAGGATTTTCCAACCAATTCCTTGTCTGGGAAAAAAAAAAAAAAAAAAAAAAAGGAATTTAAACTCTTGCATTGCATCAGCTGAACTAAGAAGCTGGAAAGCGGTAAAAGTAGATTAGACTTCCTGCCTATCTGAATACATACATGGTAACTAATGGTAGCCAACTCCCCTTTACAAGGACTTTGGAGAATGCTGCAGTCCCCATTTTACAGATAAGAAAATGGAAACAGAAGAGTTAAAAGTTTAATCAAGCACTCACACCAGTTGGTGAACTGTGTAAAGCAGGGTTAGAACCAGCCTCAAGTAAATGTGGTGGTGTACTGCCAACACGGTTATTACCAATTACATAAACAGATGCTAACGCACACAGCCTTTTCAGAATAAGGCATTTTTGTTTAGCTGAAATTAATTTATGCAGATTTAAATTAAATCAAAACAATAATCCTAAAGTCAATTTTTAAAAGTTTACTGATTTTAATTTACTATATGGGGAGAGATTGGATCACATCTTTGTAATGTTTCTTCCCCCTCCCAGTACAAACAATCAGCAACTCAATCAATCTTTGCAGAATTCCATCCATCTATAAAATGGTACAAACTGAAAAATTTAAATAGAAAAGCTTTGGTACTAAGCAAGAAAAGTAAAAAGGGAAGTCAAGTTTACAGTGAGTCTTCATCTCCATCATGTTTTCAGTGTATAAGAACATTTCATTAGGACATGAAAATTGACAGGTGATCCAATTTTGCTTACAGAAGTCTAAAGAAAATTTTCAACTCATTGAAGGAACTACAAGCATAAAATAACATTGCATTAAGAAGCTGATTATGCTTTTGTGATTGAGAGCCACACATAACACCATGCATCTGATTAAGAATCTCACAGTATGTGAAGTTCTTCCTAGCCAGAAATAAACT